TAATATTAATATATTAATATGATAAACTAATTATAAACCATAGTTGTTAGTCGAAATTGCTTCTCTTAGTAAATGATTGTCAGCCGAATTCAAAGTGCCAAAATAGTTTTTCATAGTGGCTGAAATTAATTTTAATAGTGGCCAAAATTATATCCAAAATTATTCAAATTCTTTGACTCAATAGCCAAAATGCTGGGTGGTTTTTTTATGTCCCTTAATATAGAGAATATGGAAAAGCCAAAATGTGCCAAAATATTTTGGCAAATGCAAAAACAATTTCAGCTAACAACTATGTTATAAACATTATTATGTTTAAAGCAAAAAGCACTGGACCCTGTGCTATACCTGAATGTAATAATAAAAATGCTTCTAGGTTTAGAAAAATGACTGACCTTGCAATTGAAAAAATAAAAAACAAGCATCCAGAAGGTGATTATGATTTCATAAAAAAAGACAGCGAACTTTGCCATGAACATTATATGAAAATTGTTGAATCAGATGCATATGAAAAATACAAAAATAAATCATCTCAAGCAAAAATTGTTAATTTGTCTGGTGGATTTGGATATTCAAAAGATGAATTAGATTGGTCTAGAATCAAAATCAATGCAGTTGATGATAATGTCATTTGTCTAAAGATGTTTTTAGAAACATAGTTAATCATATTAACAACTTGAAACTACAGATTAATGAAAATTCATATTATATCAACGAATATGGTGATTATTCTGATGTAAATAATGAAATTAGTAATGGTAACATATTCTCATTTTTTGTTGCATAATTAATCACTAAAAAAATAGTCATTAATTCTATTGTATATTTAATTTAATAGAAAATGATTCATTTGCAACAAAAATCAAAATATTAAGTAAAGCTCTTTATCAACAACAAAGAACACTAAAAGATAAAATTGAATTAGATCCAATTAAATTTTCTGAAATGATTGAACAATTTGATTCAAGACTTCAAGGTTTTTTTGATGAAATGGTAGATGCTCTAATTCCAGAAAGAAGAACAGATGATAATAAGGAGGCTGCTAAAAAATCAATTGTAACATTTTGTTATCTATTAGTTGGATTATGAAATAACATATTGTGATTTGGTAGTTGTGTGTGTGTTTCACCAATCACTAAAATTAGACATTGTGCCCTAATGTAAACGTTATCCAAACATTTACAAATATACTTTACTAAAATTACCAGTTCTCTACTAGCTTTAACATGTCCTTTTTAAGAAGTCCCACTTCTGATGATTTCCAAATTCCAAAATTCTTTGAAGATATAAAGACAAGATCCTTAGAGTGTCCTCCTTGGATTGTTATTGGTTATAAAGGAAAAAATTGAAAATTTTCACTTGTTCACCCAAGAGAGATATTTTATAAAATATTATTTTATTAACAATTCTCTATTATTATTATTACAATATTATTGAAATATTATTAGATAAAAGAATCATGAAGAGTGAGTGAGGAACTTCTCACTCTCCTATTTATATATTCAAGAAATTTAACTAGAAAGTTCTCTCCTTCTCATTAGTAAGAACTTGGTCAGCCAATCTTTATTAATAGATTTGCTGTCCTATAGTCTTTCCACAAATTTCTTTGCTTTGCTTACTAATTTCCAGAGTTCTAAAGAATTTCCAGCTATTATTATTAATTTAATTCTAATTTACTAATTATTCTAGAACTTTCTTATAATCTTTTTAATTTTATTTAATAAAGATCATGTTCTTCCATATTTGGACCCATACCCCTGATTGTAATAATTATTAGAAATTTATATACGAAAATAATAAGGAGAACCCTTGGAAAAGCAAAGAAGCATTCATGACCAAAGTCACATCTCACAATATTAACTATTTTTGTCTAGACAAATTATATTGTAATACAATTGTGATGTTAAACAAACATTATTGATCCCTGAAATCTTTGGTAATACCAATGTTCACTTTGTCTGGTTTTGTTGCAGTATGCCCCATTTATAATAATAGTTGTGTTGATAATTTGATTGGTGGAATAGAACCTCTGACTAGCTATATTTCTGGCATTCTAGAAAATCGTTGGCCTTCTTTGTTCAGGAAATTAACATCCATTGAATTTCCTAAACAACACATAAAAAAATTATTTCCAGCGTTTACAATGTTGGTAATAAATTTTAACAAATTAGCCAATCTCCACGAAGATAATAAAGACTTAAAGAATGGATTATGTTTTGTAGTTCCATTAGGAAGTTTTTCTGGTGGAAAGTTGGTGTACCTAAATTGGATTTATTATTTCAATTAAAAAGAGGGCAGATCATTTGCTTTCAAAGTGATCTATTACAACATGGCAATTTGAAAGCCAATGGTAACAGGCATTCACTAGTATTTTTTAAATCATCAACTTTGTTTTCAAAAGCCAAAAAAATTTTAATATTTAAAAATGTAAAAAATTGTATTTTTTTTTTTTTCGTTAATAAAATATAAATTAATAAATTAAATATACTAGAGTGATCGCATGGGAGGAAAATACTCTGTCCCAAAGCTTTGTGAGTATATCTATTCTTTGATCACTCTAGCCAATTATCATTAATTATTTAATAATTTTCGTTTTCTTTATTTATCCGTTCCTGGATTGAATAATTCATATACAAATATCATAAAATAAAATTTACAAACCAATTGTTATCAATATTAATTATAAACGCACTCATCCTTGTTCAAGTTTTTATAAATGGCATAAGTTCTGAAACCGAGGGTTACTCATCCCAAATGGCATATAAAATACATAAACAAGACTATTTGTACAAATAACGATTGGATAAATAAATGTGTGTTTAATGTGTTTATAATATTAATTATTAATTATTTTTTAAAAAAAATATATAAATCTCAAAAAAAAACCATCACCTAAATTAAATAAAAATATTAATGACATCTAAAAACTTTAGAAAATAAAAATACACCAAGTCCGGTTCAACAAAACGTGACATCATCAAATACCTCAGAAGTTACTACTCAAAGTGCATTCCAACAATTCCCGACACCATTAGATATCTCACAAAATATTGCTACTTTGTGTGAGAATATACACCATGTCCAGTTATTCAATCGACCTATGAAGCTTTAATTTTTACACCAAACAAACCAATCTTAATAAAAACGATGTATGATAAATATTTCCCATACCTTATTTGCGCATTCAAATTCAACAATAAATTATGTTAAGGAGACTATTGAAGAGGGAACCTATATAGAAATAAAAAGGTTGTTGCAAATGAAAAACCGATTGATTTGATTTTGCAGGAAAATATTGTTGTTAAGAAGCTGGAGTGAGATATTTGAAACAGACTACACAGAAAAATCCTTAATGAGACAATCGTCACGGGTGATAACCAGACGGAAGAAACTTTTTTGTATGATATGCACTCCTAGATTTCGCCGCAAACTTCAAGTACATACTGCCAAGAGTTCTGTATCGTTATATATCTGAACGAACCTTTATTGTTGAATACCTATCACCTATCTTCCAAGTATTTTGAAATGCATCCCTGGATATTAAATACGAGTGGATCGAGAAAGGTGTTGCTTTGATAAAAGAACCAAACAATATGTTTATGGATGATATCAGTTCATGAAAGACAGATTTACTTGTTGTACATTTATCAGATGGAATGGAGCTAATGAATACTGAAGTTTAAGAACCTCCGTTTAAAACTACACAAACACGCACATTTAGAGATGTTAAAAAGTTGCTAATATTCAGATTATTGGTGATCGTCTTGCATTGTTTTCCATCTTTCTCATGACCAAAAAAAGTTCTGGGCCATTGAATTGGCCTCTTGCTTGATTCCATTTTTCACTCGATGCAATTTCTTTACTATACAAAAATCTTCAATTTCTTCATGACAATTCGAACTGAGTTTGTGAATCAGGAGAAGTTATATATTCTTCTGTTCCAGCTAACAATTCTGAAAGGATGCGAGATTGGTTGCTCTTACTTGATGACTAGTACTTCTATGGCTTAAAACTTGTACCAAATGATATAGGCGAAGTTCTTATTCAATTCGCATCTACGAACAACAATAGCAAATCAAGTTGGGTAATCTCATATGGATCTTTTTTTAGCATATTATAATGTGACTAGGTTTATGTTTTTTAACAAAATTATAAAGTTTCGCTATGGACTTCTGATTTTTAACCTATGCATGCTATACGCGGTTGGTGCGGGGTGCATAAAAATGTTTATATGCTGGTTTCGTATACGTAATAGCGTTTACATTTTTTGCACAGACATCAATGCATACATTATTAACCCAACACATATTTAATTGAGAATTTTTTCTTCTTGACAAAAATGATCGGTATTCCGAAACGGAACGCGCACCTACCTATTTTTATTGCATTAGGATATTGATGCCACATATGATCAGGAATTTTATCATTTCATAAACTCGGTCCAGAGATTTTTGGAAATTTTTCTTGGCAACTTTCACTTGTTAAATGAATAATTAACTACTTTCTTAAAAAACGAAATAAAATTATTATTTCCTTATTTTAGACACCTTTATTTGGTTTTTTATGAAAATCATCAAATTTTATATTATCAAAGAATGATTTATGTGATTTATCATCTGTTGTTACTTTATAAGCCCACGCAATACAATAATGTTTAGCAAGTAATTTCCATTCTTCAAATTCGTCCATTAACTCTAATCTTGAAATTCTAAAATATTAACAATAAAAAAGCATTTATTTATATTTCCCTCAAAAAAAAATCTTCTCTCGCCTTTAAGTATACCTTGAAAGTTCATTTGGATCCAAATGATAATCATGAATTTCATTAATATCAATAGCTTCTGCATAATTCCATCCACGAGACAAATACCTGTCTTTTTGACTTTGTAATGTGGGATATGCATGAATCCCCCGAAGTTCTATATTTCGAAGCCTTAAATTATGTAACATTACTGATCCAAATGCGTCATCTGGTAATATTTGTTCATAAACAATAAATATTGCCAATCTCATATTCTTTCCGATCCATTCGACTAGTTTATCAGAATCGGTAGGATCCATGTAGATCATTACACACTCGGACAAGAATAATGTAGGAAGACTATTATAAAAAAGAGAGGGTATGAATGTATGTATATGAGTGTCTATATATATTGATTTTATTTTTTTTCTCCAAAATTTTTAAATTTACCTTCGATCAAACCCTTTAGATTCCATAATCGGTATTAGATCACTTTCAAAATTCCTCAAATCTCCTGATAACAAACAATAATCTATTCCATAAATCTCTGTTTCTCCTTTACCTATATATAATTTTTATTAATTATAATTACAATTATAATGATAGTAATAATAATAATAATAATAATATACAAATATTGATGCTATTTCTCTTCTCTCACTACCACTAATTAATTAATTGATACCTATTTCTATCTCATTCCCAAGCAATTCTAATAATTCTTCATGTCGACGAATTGACATAATTTTCTTTAGATTAACTTGTGGATAATCAATCTCAAAATACTTGTGAAATCTAATTTGTGATTTCTATCTTGCAATGCATAATTAATTGGGTTGGGTTGATTGATTAATTGTAAAATAATTAAAATAACTAATTCCACCGATCAATCATTTAATCAATCATTCAATTAAATAAAACCTTGAAATGAAAATATCTTGTATCAGATCCTGCACCAAGCGAGACAATTTGTTTTTTCGTATCATGTTTATCTTTTTTTTTTCCTCCTGATCCTTCTAAAAATTTCTTAATCAATGTGTCTAATGCAACATTACGAACATACGTTCCTGTGTTTTAAATAATGATTACAATAAATCAATAATCAATAATCAATAATCGATAATCAATAATCAATAATCAATAATCAATAATCAATCACTCATATCTCATCTCTTAATATATAAACAACGAAACCTCTATTAATAATAGGCGGTCTTCTGGTTGTTCTTCTTACAAAATACTTAACAAACTTATCATTTAAATATCCTACATTTACTGCGGATCTTTGGATAAAAGAAATTTGTATATTTATTTTATTTCCTTTATTTACTATTATATATATAGAAAAACTTACAGTTTGCTTATCGCAGCATCATCATTAGTTTCTCGAATAGCTTCATCTTCTAACGATGTATCTTTTATAATTTTTTCATGTAAATTTGCCATTTATATAAAAATTATTATTATTATTATTATTTGAAGATAGAAATTTGGTTTGATTTTTTAAGCGTTTAGCAAGTAGGTCGATCAACAACCAAATCATTACTATTACACAAAATTGAATTACTATACTTCTTGACGTTGATCTACCTATAGAACAAGACTAAGTCCTTATCCCCAGGGTTGATCCCAAAATCGTTAAGCAACGTTTGTTGTATTTCCATAATACACTTTAAGTGTTTATATTTCTATCAAGGATAGATTTTTTTTTGATGACTCCACAATATCCACATGTTTTTACTAGCGTATTTCTTGGTGCAAATGACAACTTTAGATCAAAGATATTCGCGGGATTTGTTGGAGAAATTGGTCAACATTGTAAACTATGTTGAACCATTCCTTGTATGTTTTAAACTCGGTGAGTAAAAAATAACATGATGTTTTTTTTCACTTAATCATTTTGCCAATTTTCAATCACAAGTTTACATAGATCCGAAGCATGCATCGCAGAGTTTATATTATATCTTGGCTCTATTACATTCATAGTGATAGCATTCAATAACTTCACCACTCAATTTCTCACTTCTGGCTGGGTCAAGTGAGTGGGGCCAGCACCTCTATTCTCTTCAGAAAATCTGGGGTCTGGGATATGCAAGTAGAATTCACCAAGACGATTAATGGTGAGACAACGTATTTCCTTAATACCTTTGAAGGATGAATAACAATCCTCCAATAGGTTGATCTAATGTGGTTTGTCTTTTTTAGATCCAAGTTTTAATTTAAAATCATCTTTTTTATTTGATTTATAATTTTTTAATAGGTTATTTTATTGCAATAAGAGTATCAAGAGCCCATTTAAGATCACACTGTTGGATGTAAATTCTCAGACCTCCACCGATATAATTACAATGTAAATATTTTTTAGACATTTATTACATCTCCATTTTTTTTTTTTGATTTTTTCTTCAAAGTCTGATTTTAAGAACTTTTTTTACTGGAAGTTTTTTTGTAAGAAGACGATGAAATTGTATCTTTAAAATTTCTCCTTCACCTTCTTGTGCAAGAGTAATTACCAGATCTTTTGAATTATAAAAGAATTTTTGATTTATTATTATATAGGCATGCTGCAACAAAATCAAACAAAGTGAACATTTATACTATAATGGATTAAAATTGTTTAACATTTTTTCTGTTATTTTTGTTTTTTTAGAACTAATCCTATAAAATAAAAATATAAATATGAAACCCATTTACATCAGATCTACCATGGAACCCAAAAATTATAGTACAATCAGAAGTCTGAACCTACCAAGATCTTTAACATCACAGGGAGCACATGCAGGCCAAAAGGTTGGTGTAATATAGCTTATGATCTTGCTTTTACAACACCCTGTAACAAGGTCTTCTGTCCACTGTTCAGTATCTTCCATCAGCCCTTCTGAATTGCAAATACATTATGTGTATGCAAATTGATGAACAAGAAAACAGCAAGGAAGATAAAGATGAAGATGGTGAAAGGCCCTATTTTGATGATGCTATAGATAAATATTTTGAGAGGCCAGGGGATGAGCATTTTCAAGAAATCACATACCCTGATGATTTTCAAAATTACAATATTAGGATCAATCCACCTTGACCACAGTAAACTTTACTGAACAAGAGATTTGAATAACAGGTATGTCATTAAGAGGAACAAACCCTTGCTTCTGAGATTCACAAATTATAAGGTAGATGATGGTGAGCCCTTCATCTTATTATGAAACATCCTGCACATTCTGAGAGAGATCCGCTTAGAAGGCATTCAATTTTTACAGGAACCTGTACCTGGTGTGATACAAGCAAGCTATCTTGAGGTTAATAAGAAGCTCTGTTACTAATAGGCGCCAATTTTCTGAAGTGTTTAAAAGGGTAATTGAGTCAGTTTTATCAGATCTGGAAAAGAATGAGCCTTGGGACATTATATACAGTCAACTTATCTCATTGGAAAAGCCTTCTCTTCAAATGGTCTCTAGCACTTGACAATGAGCAGTACAAAAGTGTATGATGTATTTATTAACTTGAAAGTGAAGATAAACATACACACTTCTTCATGAGTGGGACAGGGAAGACATTCATGACCCTAAAAGTAGTGGATATGCCAAAGAACAAGGAATTTGATTACCTGTTGCTTGCTCCTACAAGTGTTGCAGCCCAGAAGGTTGGTTGGAAGACTATCCACTCAGCATTTAAAACAAGCAACAATCACTATCAAACCTTGTCCATAGAAACAGAATCATCAATGCAAGCTTTGTTGCAAATAAAAGTCATCATAATTGATGGTTTCCAGTGAATTGTTTTCATTCCTAAGCAACATTTTTGGCTCATCACACAAGAATCACAAGGTCTTCCTGTCCTTGTGGTTGGTGACTGTGAATGGGGAACATGTCTTCTTTTCACCAGCCTGAAAATTCTTCCTTTCCCTGTTCTTATCCAAACCACAGTAATGGAAAGTTGACTTGGATTTTTTATCATTTGCTTGAAGAGTTGAGATTAAGGCGTCTTTCTGAAAAAAAAAAAAAAAAAAACAAATTAATGATCAATGAAAGGTAAAATTCCAGAGCAATGATAAATATTACACATGTTGGTCTCAAAACAAAACAATTCATTCATTTGTGAAAACCTACCATTCAGCAATCAATACTCCAACCCATTGTTTCAGTGGCACTTGACACATTGAACTTTGAAGAGGTTGATAACAGCTCCAACAATTTGCCTTTCAAAATGGAACAACATGAGTGATTACCAAGAGTGTAGAACACAATAATCTGAGATCACCTTCCCAACAAATGAAAATATTATTAAAATCAATGTTCAGAAAACCACTGTTAACTTTGAAATTAATGGAGCATATGCCTTGAGGCACCAATTCCCTTTACAGAATGCTTTTACCTTGACCATCCATAAGACTCAAGATCTAATTTGATGAATATTTTTTCATTCTCTGAAGGCAGATAGAAATGTGATAATGAATACAAGAGATTAAAATTATTAAATAAAAAAGTTCTAATGGAGATGAGGAGAAAACGTTACATGCTTAAAAGGGTAAAAATTTTGGGTAAAGCTAAATTTACTAATAGTCCTCAATTGTAACATATATGAAATCAATTTTTCTAGAGTTGATTTCAATTTGGTAAAATCCTTGACTGCAATATATAAATATCATCTGATGTCGAATAAATATATTTTTAGTCCAAAAATAATATTTGTATACAAAAAAAATATAAGCCAATTAATATTAATTGCTAAATCGAATCGAAATTATTCATTTACATACCTCTTCATAATCAAATACTGCCTTTGTATCTTGCATATTCCTATTTATAATAACTATATAATGACATGCGTAGGATTAATGGTGAACTTTCCTTGAGTTTTGCGTCTATTATCCTCGATTTATTCTTGCGAGACATATATATCTATATGAAGAAATGATTTCAATTTTTTTCTTAATAATTTTCCATGATTTTGCTTCATATGATAATAATAATAATAATAATAATAATAATAATAATAATAATAATAATAATAATAATAATAATATGGACATCAATGTTCGAAAGTTTTCCATCAGCGAAATTTACATCACATGATTTTACTGAAATTCAAATTAATTTGCATCTTATATAAAACATAATATCAAACATGTAATCCGAACTAGATTTGTCGAGACAACTAATTGACGGACTTGAGGCTGAGAATGCGAAGCTGAACAGACAATAAAAGAAAATGTCAAACGCGAGATTGAGAATACTGGGCTTAAGGGCAAGAATTGCAAAGCTAGAACATGATATTGAGGATTTCAAGAAGCATGATTATTCTAATTGAAGTAACAGGCTATTAGTATTAGTAAATTTTAGCATGTAACATTTTTCTCCTTTACCCATTTAACATATAACAAAAGCTCAAGACCTATGGTTTTTCCAGATCATGATCGACTTGTTGGCAGCTGAAATTATGAAAATAAATGATTTTAAAGGTAATGATAGATGACCCTCTCATTTTAAACATCGTATTTATTCAATAACTAAACAAGGAGAAACAGCACCTGCTTCATTTGAACTATTATCACAATATCGTGGAAAACTCCAAGAAATTATAATCTTAACGATATTTATAATTGTGATGAGACTGCAGTATTCTAGCAACTTGAACCATCAAAGCCCTTAGCTCAGCATAGTGGACACTGTTGCAGATCACAAAAACAACTATTTCATTGGCCGGATTTTTGTCGATCTTATTTCCAATTATCACATAAAATCTAATTTTGATTGGTTTGATGATTATTACACAATTCTAAAAATAAAAAAGCGCGGCCGATTAAAAATTTATTCCCGAAGAATAATATTAATATATAACATGTTAAAATTTATAAAAATTTATTTAAAAAAAATAAAAAACAAAAAAACAATTTTAAATCCCCATTTTTCTTAAATAATATTTTTAATAACCAATAAAATGACTACTAAAAATTTAGGCCCATGCAATGTTTTAAATTGTGAAGCAAAAGATGTTAAATTTAGAAGATTCACCAAATATGGTTCAAAAAATGCTAAAAATCACGGCACATATGAGGATTATAATTACCTTGAAATTAATGATCAACTTTGTCCTAAACATTACTTATTAATTGTACAATCAAAAAGAAATAAATCAAATAATCAAAAAAGAAAGTCACGAGATTTTGAAGATGATAATAATATTATTGAAATTGATGCCATTATAGAAGATGTTGATACTAATAACACTGAATTCAAATTATCTGAATTATTAGGAAATTTAATTAATGATAATCAAATAAATCTAGACAATTGGTCAAATATAGATGTTGATGTTCAAGATGATGCAGTATTGTTATCTAGAAATGATTTTGATTGCATAATGAATAAAATAAAAGAAATGCAAATAAAGGTTAATCAATATGAAAATAATAAAGGATACTTAAATCAATTTTGTAATAAATTTGAATTACTATCTGATATTTTATACATAAGGCAAAGAAACTTAAATTTAGATGTTGAATTGGATCCAGAGAATTTCAAAAATATGATTGAGCAATATGAGGCAGAGCTAAAAGGGTTTTTTGATGAGTTGGTTCACATCTTCTTATCATTTAAAAAATCTGGAGATAATAAAGGTAATATAGAAAATGCCAAAAAATCACTTGTAGGATTCTGTTACTTATTAGTTGGATTAAAAAATCAATGAAATAATTTACTTCAGTTAGAAATAGGATTCTATTTATCTACTTCTGGTGCAACAGTAGAATGTATTGATATAATATCAAGACTAGGAATTTCAGTGTCTTATAAAACATTAGATAGACATAAGAAGAACATTTCTAGTAATCATAAAGAAAAAATTAATAATTATTTTGAAGAAAATGCAAGTAAACTATTTTGTTTTAATATAGATGATTACCATTCAATCCATAGTTACAGAAGTCCCAACACAACAACATTTTGTGTTTCTAAAACTGTAAAAGATAGTAATTCTGTACCAGCATATGTTGATGGCATAACCCTAAAAATATTGATGCAGATAGATTATTAATACAGTCAGGGATCTTTCCAAATTTGGGATTTCTAAATACTGTAATGATCGACGACCAAAAATATTCTGGAAAAAAAATCAAATCAACAACGATTGGCTAAATTTTATGCAGATCTTTTCATTGAAAAAAAAAACCTTTATTAATGTGTATTTATAAATACTATGCATGCCTACCCAATATATAATATATAATTAACAGTTCAAATATATATAACAGGTATTAATTAATTCATATATACATCATAATTATTATAAATTTCATATAGCAGGCTCTAATGTTATTGAAATTATAATAAATAGTTAATAAATGAATATATAAAAGACAATTAATTATTGAGAAAATAAATTTGAATTTTCTTACATGTAAATATAATAATAATGAATTATTGGAGGAAATAAATTTGAATTTTCTTGTAAATATAACTGTATAATAATAATAATTATTGGAGAAAATAAATTTCAATTTTCCTGCATCTATAATAAATAGATATTAATATATTGAGAATTTCTTTATGTCTTTGAGCAAACCTATAATAAATAGAGTTGTTAATGAATGAATATGCATAAAAATAAATTTGGATTTTCCTGCATCTATAATAAATAGATTTGCTTATGCCTTAATGAAATAATATGGGGGGTTTTCTAGCAAAAACCGTGTATAAGTATAGTGAACTTTTTTGAGAAAATAACTCCTGAAAATTTGTTACACGGAAATTGATCGTTTTGAACCCCAAAATTTGAAAATAAATTTTGGCGAAATAGCCGACAAAAATTAAAAATAAAAACAAATTTTGGTGAAATGGCCGATTTTAAGGCAAAAATTATTATTTGTTTTAATTTATTTTATAAATAGTGTGAAAATTTCTTACAAATAATTTTTTTAAAAAAATAAAACATCTAACATAAAACATCAGAAATAAAAACTTAATCCTTATTTATCAAAAAACAATTGTTTAACTACAACATGTCTTCAAATTTTGAATCATCTGAAGATTTAATTTTAATTTATGGTGATCTCATATCTAATTTAAATTTAGAAATTACAAATTTAGAAGATGACATGGAATTATCATCAGAAAATTTAATTTTCCCAAGTGATTTAGGATTAGAAACATATGAGCCAAATGAATTGGTACTTAATGCAGTCCAAAATTTGAAATTATTTTTTGAAGAAGAATCAAACTGCAGCTGTTGTAAACAAATAAATAGGATATGTTTTAAAAAAATTGGATTTAAAAATTTTTTAGTAAGACAATTTCAATTAAAAGGATTAGAAAAACATGAACTAGATCTTTGTATTAAAACACAATTGATGGTTTTTAAATTACAGGATCAAAATGACAAAACAAATAAATAT